GTGATTCAGAAAGACTAAACATAAACGAGTTGATCATGAAAAATCTTACCACAAGGCCTAAGCATTAATATGGATGAGATCTGTATGAAAAATGTTAGCACAAGGCCTAAGCATTAATATGGATGAGATCTTTTAGGTAGTAATAGGTAATGATACAGAGAGAAGTATAGCAGGTAACAGGATGACAGACAGAGATTACCAAACCATGATCAGTAAGAAATCCTCTGACGGAAACAGGGCTTTCTTTATTCTTCTAACTTCTATTCAGTAGAGTATATAAAAAGCAGTAATAAAGATCAAAGAATTGGGGAGAGCAGAGTCTGTGTGTACAGGTTTCTATATGTGTGTTAGTGTTCCAGAAAACCTGTCAGAGTAAGAATTTGACATGAGGACAAAATAGCTTTTTTAACACTGACACTGGAAACAAAAAAACCCCCATTGAACAAAAAAACCTAGGTCATGCATGGAAACTAAACATATGCATGTGTTAGACGACACTAAGATGGGCGTGTTCATGCAAAAGTGCAGAGTACTAGAAATTTTAAATGCTGAATGTTATAATGTTATTGTTATTTTTATTGCATTATGGTTACATTACTGTTACGACAAGTTTCAACCCTACCAGAGCCCTGTTGCAGTAGAAAGAATAGTCATTGCCCCAAGGAGTTTGCACTGTAAATTAAAATTAAAGATAGCAGGTAGGGGAGACAAGCAAGTGAATGGAGTGGGAAAGAATAATGTAATTTAATAGGTCATTTTAACACAACCTGGTGGTTTGTGTACTATTTAGCTATAATTATCAGCCATCTGCCTTGCCATTTTCAGATGGCAGTTGTTTGAATACATTTAAGGGGAAGAAAAGTGTAGTAAGTTGTTGGCTGTATATATGACTGTGAGTTTAACTTGTGTGAAAGACACAGAAGAAAAAGTAAAGTTCTTTGTAGGAAAGAATATAACTCTGCTCCACATTTTCAGACTGACAGTAGAGGTGAACTTTGTAAAAGCAATATTAGACTAAAATCACACTAGCTTTAGAGATTACAAATAAGGTAAGAGGCTTAATTAACGATACTATTCCTTAAGGTCAAACTAACAGGACATAGATTATTATAATCTAATTTAAATATATCCAGTAGTAAAGCACACAGGAAAAATAACTCTAAATATACATACTCAGTGATGTGCTCTAAAGTAGCTATAACCGCTCAGGAAAGAGACCTGGGAGACACTGCAGACAGTCTGTGGAAACAGCAGTTCAGCGCTCAGGGAGAGCCAGGGAGGCAAACAGAATGTGAGAGAAGGCACCGAGATCAAATCAGAAGCAGTTCTGTGCTGCTGAACAGCCAGGTTCCCCCCAAGACATGAATCCTGAACGCCATTTTTGCCTTGCCATTTCACAAACAGGGGTTTATAACTGGAAAGGTACAGGAATGAGTCGTTCAGAGATTCATAATGTTTGCCAAAGCAGGAGAAACTAAATAGATTGGAAACTCTCAGCTTAGAAAATAAAAGAACTAGTGAGATAGAAAACTGCATTTAATGTAAAGAACATAAGGAATTATTCTTCACTTTTTATCTTAAAATGAAAATTATGAGCCAAAGAAATGAATAGGCTCCAAACTTAAACATAAGAAATAATTTTTCATGCAAGAAAGAAGTCAGGTAAGGAATTTAGGAGCTTAGGATGTCATGGAAACAAAAAGGATGTGTAGGTTCATAATGGATTAAACAAACTCATGGTATCTATTAAATCATTTGGATTTAGCTTTCCAGGGCGTCCCCATAATAGCGGTTGTTAAAAGATGGAAGAATGCATACAGGAAATACTCACTCTTAGTCTGGTGTCTCCCTTTCCCTATTCCTTGCATTAAAAAGTTACTTTGCCTCAGGCAAAAACTACGTAAATTTCATCCATACTTAAAATTACTTGAATAACACACAAAATTATTTCTGTCTGAAGCTTCTGTAAAGTCATATGAAAACAAGCAAGTCTTTTCTATTCCTTCAATTTTTTTTTGGGGGGGGGTAATTTTGGAAATACAATTGAATAAAAAGTTTCGGTTTCTTCACATAAATCTTCGAGAAGCTCTACACCTTGAGGCTAAGATGAATTTTAAAATCGTATTTCATCGTCTTTCCTTTGAAAAGTAATTGGGAATAACTTACAAGCACCTCAGAACAACAAATTAGCCCAATCTTTAGGCAACACATCCGGAGCGGGGAGCACTGGAGACAGCACAGCGTGGAGCGCTATGAAGGGTTTCCCAAACAGGAGAGACAGTGGGAGGCAGACACAGCTAACCTGTTCTCCTGACTCCATGGCTTAAGCCTCAGGCCCCCAGATCCCAAATGACAGCATTATCCAACGCAACAGTTTAGATCTTCCAGTGCAAGCTAGCAGCTCAGCCTCTCCTGTTCAAGATCTTTCACTTTGTATAAATTACTATTAGTTTTAACCGGGCCTGAAAATTTAATTTCCCATGATCCTAAGTATGTGCTTTAGCTGTTCAAATACAAATGGTCTTTCTCTCCACTGCAAGCTACACTTCATGTCAAAAACCCAAACACATTACTTTTTTGTGGATTTTTTATAAATAAGCTACAGCCGTGATCCTGCACAGTAATTCTGAGGGAGGTTTTCTACATTCTACACAGATGCCAATTCTCACTAGGTTATAGTTATAGAAAACTTCAAATAAATTATCAGCTCTATGAGAAGATAATGAGAAGCTCTATGAAGAAGATATGAGAAGCTCTACGAGAGAAACATGAACACAGATAGGGTGGTAGACGACAGAAAGAGAACTAAGTTTTCATATTATTTGTGTCCTTTGAAACTCAGATCAGACAATATCTTTGTGACTACATCTGCAATCATGCACTTAAAAAACTAAAAATCAAGAAAGAAAAACAAATAAAAAATCAGGAAGACCTCTGCCTGGTGTGTTCTTATAAAAAACCCCACTGTTTAGAAGTCCAAATAACCTTGTTTTTCCCCTTTTAGAATTTTCCCCTTTTTCTCCTCTTGGTTTTCTTGCAAGCAGCTAACTTTTAAAGCAAAACCAGAGTGAATTAATAATTTAACACTCCATTGTATTGTATCTGAATAGTAGAAAAGCAAATGTCGAGGATAGTCTTTTCGAAATTAAAGTCAGGTGTAATGGTTAAAGTAGACAACAGGGAGGAAAAAGCTGTAAAATTATACAGAGAATGGTTTGCTGCAGCAGCAGACACCTTGCAGGACTGCTGTTCCACTGAAAATTGTGAATTATAACCTCAGTTCTCTACTGTTTATTTAAAAAAGAAGGATGGAACATACTATGCAGTACTTACCAAAAACTTGAAGGAATGTTTGTTTTTTGTCATTTCCTGCTTTGTTTTTTGCATTACAGATATAAGCACCCGCATCAATATTTTTTATATCTTTTATTGTTAGTTCTGTATCGCTTCCTCTCAGCATATATTTTTCATTTTCTTCAATAAGTTTACCGTTCCTAAAAAAATAAAAACGATGTATAAATCAACCAGTAGGTTCCAAAGTCTGAAATAATGTGCTAAGCATCAATATGTTGAAAATAATCTTTGAGGGAAAAGACTACTATTATGCTAGCCTCAAAAATGCATTAACTCATGTGGCATAAATTGGCAGTATGTATAGAAGGGAGTTGATTTTAGCTTGACAAAAAAAGTTCTGCAGGATCACAGTGGTTTTTCATAAGAGTGTGCACATTCTAGACACAAGAAATGCATTCTTAACTGCATTTTGATGTTCAAGACCCCAGCTTCACAATTTTATTGTCAGGTTCTAAAACATATGCGTATTAAAAATACTATAAAATCTTTATTCTTAAATGTTCGATATTGACTTAATGTTAGAAAAATGCCTGTGAATAGAACTCTAACATACCGCTTGTACTCAAGGAAGGATAGAAGGAAATCAGTTACACAAATACATACTTGTATGTCTGAAATATTTAAAAGTGTATTTTGAAAGTGTAACTGTTGCAGTTCACATTAGTAACAATGTACAAACATATAAAAAATACTTTAAATTACTTTAGAACCTATTGGCATATAAAGAACCCTGCCAAATTATTTCCTCTCAGTTTTTGTTGGCTAGCCACAACTTAGTAAGCAGGCATGTCTCCAGGTGTTAGAATGAGTTCTGACCAGATGGTACAGAAATAATAAAACCTGTGAACAACTCTGAGGGTTGACTGAGGCTTGACTGGTCCATTTGAGCACCTTGGCATATACACAGTTATCAAAACAGTTTATTTTTCAAGAGTGCAATTCTTACTTTTTTGATTTCTTCTCATTCTGCCTTGTTTTCTGTAGGCTTCTTTTGCTCTTGTTTCTGTTGACTCGTCAACAGTCCCTTCACATAAGCACCTCCACAACAATTGCCTTTCAAATGATTTTCACAAGCATTGATAATCCTGCTGACAATGCCAACTTCTTGAAAACAAACTATTTGTGAAATGAAGCCAATATGCATAACTGAAATACTCTATTCTATTCAATATGCCTAGTTAGGACATCTAGTTTTATTTCAAGATTTGAGCAACAATGATTTTCACTTTCTCACATAATGCTGATAACTACATATATTTCATATTTTATAAAATAATATTTTCTCTAAAAGTGCAAATAATTGCTTCTTTCTTGGGAACATTAATATCCCTTAACAGGATTCCCCTGGTATCTATATAGCTTGCATTTTAGTAATATTTCTTGTAAATAACTCTAGTCCATTTAGCTGTCCACTTCAAGGTATTACTGTGATACTTGGTTCATCTCCTTTCCAAAGCAAATCATAGAAATTATTTTGCAGAACAGAAAAGGTCTAATTTTCCACATAGGTGGTTTCACAAAAAAATTTAGTGATTTCTGTTAGGAGACAGAAGTCTATATTCAAGGTCAAAAGTAGTTTCCAAATGCCTGTTATCGCAAACATTACCCATATCTATGACAATTTATAAGCAGAAGTGAGAATTATGAGCATCTCCCTGGACCTTCCAGCAAACAGGAGAGATTCAGATTGATGCTGATATTGGAGAACAGGAAAACATGAATAACACATTAAAAGTACATTATTTCTTTTGTCAGCTAATTCTAAGTCCTGTCAGTAAAGACTGAGCCAACTAAACATTACTAGTGTAAATTATCTCCACAGATGTGAACGATTATCATGTTTTCAGTAGGACTACTCACATGAATAAAGACTTCCAGGTCATGACCTGTTCATTTGGATCTTTATCTTTCAGTCCTGGCTAATTGAATTCTATTAGTGTATTAAGGTTATGCTTTATACTAATGTAATATCAGCTACAATAGAGATATCAGTTAAGTGGTGAAAGAATTAGATTCTCTCGGTCCATGAAGTATCAATAAAGTATATATGCATATTAAATAGACCAGCAACTAAACCTTGCTGACCTTTCTTCTTGACTAGGTATTGCAAACTGACAAATTTCTAAGTGAACTAAAGCATTTTTTCAAGAAAGACTGACACATTAGTTCAGATGCCTCCATTTTAAATCGACAAAATCTTAAACTCTGTCAGCACCTGGAAATGAAAAGGTTCAATGTAAATAGTTAAAGTTTTGCCACATTAGATACTATCTTAAAGACATTAAAGCTTGAAACTACTGTGTCATCCAGCATCTTGCTTACAGTCAACACAGAGGGATATATAAGCCACCTCAATAGTACTGTCATTTTTCATGAAGTCAATGTGTTGAATCAGTTCATTGAATAGAATCATAGAAAAATTTAGGTCGGAAAAGACCTTTAAGAACATTGAGTCCAACCATAAACCTAACACTGCCAAGTCCACCACTAAACCATGTCCTCAAGTGCCATCTTAGAGTACTTTGAATAGGGACACAGGGTCAGAACAAAATAGTTTCCAAAAATGTAAAAGAAAAAAGAGAAAAGATAATCAAGAGAATTTCTCTTTTAATTGACTAAAATATCAGTGGATTTTAAGAAAGATAAGACTACACAATGATAGATCCAAATTATGCAGGCCTTGCTAAAGAAACTTCAACAGAGACAATGAGAGAATAACTGGTGTCAGAGCACATTTTTAAAGGCAACAAAGACATGAGAACGCTGAACTGTGTATAAAACAGGTCCTTAATTTTGAAGAACCATCTCAACAGGTATGGATGTACTTCCTATACAATATAATAAAAATCCTCCAGCAGAATGGAATAAAAATCTTTCCCACAATTTTTTGTCAGAGCTTTTCCTCAGCTCTCCACAACAGTCAGTATATTTTTGAATGTTTTACAAAGAAACATTATTGTCTGTTATAATAGTTTGCATCTCCTGGACTTCTTTCCTTAGCATAGTTACGTATTCAGAAAACAGGCTTCCATTAAGTAATTTTATTACACATGCCCGTTTTTCAAATGGTTAATCTGAGGCAAATTAAATAAAATGACTGAACTCACACATATAAACGGTACAGTTGGGAATAAAATGGAACACATGATTCCCATAACTTGCTGTAACCAAACATCATAATGCTTCCAGAATCAGCATTAACACTTAGTCAAATTCAAGATGTAATTCCAGTTGTTTATGAAAAAAGAAGCACTTACATAAAACTGAGGTTAATATTAATTTACATTCAACATCAAAAAATACACTAAACAGGATGAAGTTGGGAATACAACACTTGTCCATTAATGCTGATTCAGTTAGGTTCTCAATGGATGACATACATATTAATATTAAATAAATTAGTTTTGATACTTTCCTATCACTGACAATACTTTCTAGGTTTTTCTTGAAATCAAGAAGGATTATGTTGATATAGTTGATATCTGAAAAATTCCAGAAAACTAAGGTCTTTATCTTGACATATCTGTGAGAAAAGTCCAAGGACAAGGAGAAGATATTAGCAGATTCTGAATCCTTTTCACTGGCGACCAATATGTGAGTGAAAAGGGACATGAACATTCAGGACAGAGATTTCAGAAATTTGATGCAGAAATTTAGTACTGGAATACAATTTAGAATTAAGTTTGCTTCCTCCAGAAGAAATAATTTAGCTCCTCTCTCTTTTTTTTCCCCTGTTTGCATATCAATGATAATATTCTGTTATAGAGACCAGGGACCTTTTCCACCTACCATTTTACAACCTCTCACTGTCAGCAAATAAAAAAGCAAGAATATTTTCTACTGCTAATAATTTATAGCCTAATAAGACAAAATAAAACAACAATGAAAAAAAGAAAAAAAAAAAACCCACAACAGGGAAGGGAGGCACATAAGTCAATTTTCCTCACTATGAGATAGTTCCTGAAAAAGGAACAGAACAGAAGCTTTGTCATTTAAGATCCAGTATTCAGTACACAAGTGTGTGAAGCTTTTGTAAAATCTTTACAAAAATATTTAATTAATGATTTTAAAAAGTCAGTTGCCACAGGGGCTGGCAAACCAAAGGAAAATCTTTCAGTAGACTCTGATCAGTAGACAGAAAGAAGTGTCTCTCCAAGACACTTAGCCTATGTGCATACTGTAATATTTATAAAATATTGAAAAAACCCCCACAACTGTAAACAGAGAAATCCACAAACTGAGGAAATGTATTTATTCTTTCTTAATAATATACAAAATTAATGTTGGTTGTCTTACAATAAGGCCATTTAGAATACCAGATTTCAGACAACTCTTAACAATTTTGGCCAGATAAGACATACCCTGTAAAAAAATATGTCAAAGGTATTAAATAATCAGAATGTACAACCTTAGTTTGAATTCCTTATCAGTTCTTTAATTTGCGCTCTGCATATTTTTTTCCCTTTTCCTCGTCTTCACTAAATTTTGAATTCTAAGCCAATTTTAATTAAGGAATGAACTTTGCATTCTATTTATTTACATCTCCTGAGATTCAAATTGCACGAGAGAAACATTTGACATGACATGTTAAGATAAATGTGTCAGTCAAAGGAAGCTAACACTTAAAATGAATCTAACATTTTTCAAAGATTCCAAAGGAGATTAAGAATTCATGGAAATTGCTTCTATGACCATTTTGAAAATGCATTGAGATTTTAATTCACCTAAATAATATATGTAGATGTAAATTATTCAAGTCTAAAATAGAAATGTTTACTTCTATGAGGAGTCTGAGATACTTTATATCCCAGGACTGATGAACATCTTTGTTAAAATTGAAAGAATATAGAGAGTGTATAGATACTTAAATTTTTATAAGTGTTATATGGTAAATGTTCCAAAATTATATGGCTGTGTTATGTTCATGTCATTGACATCATCAAAAAGACATACGTGAACTTCAAAAGCATTCCAATTTCAAAATGTTATTATACTACGTTTTTAAAATTACATAAAACACACTTGAAACTTACTCAATGAAACATTCCCATATCCTAGGGGTGTCTAAAGCCATATCTCTTTCTGAATCTCACTGAAATGGAGAGTTAGGGTTAGAATTTATTTTTACAGATGGGGAAAATGTTATCTTTGTTATCAGTATTGTTGATCTATATTGGAAATTTATTTATTGCATAACTGCATATGTTTTTACCTGATACATTCATAAGCAAAAGTTGTGAGAGTTTGGCTTGTATCATTTTTGAGATATGGACTCATTGCTTCAGCCCTATTTGTTTCCCCTCAAATATGAAGAAATCATGTCAAAATGTTATTTTAGTTACTTTTTACATCTATTTCACTTGTTTGTAACCTGAGTGCAACTGAATTTGTGTGACTTCATTCACTTATTAATGCTGAACCTAGCTTTAGAAGTTAGGACAGAAATAGACAGCAAATGCTTTTAAAATTCAGTAAAGAAATTAAGGTTGCACAGATTAATGGACTGTGATAGAAAATTGTGACACATTAAAACAATGTGCTCTGATGTACACATCTCAACTGAACTTACCTATACCAATTGATTTCAGGTGGAGGTGATCCCGTGGCTCTGCAGAACAAAGTTATTGCCTCTCCTCGATCTGCAGTGGCATTAAAGGATTTCTGTAGCAGAGTAATTGCAGGGGGAACTGAAAAATAAAACATTATGTCCTATTAATGGAAAAATAAATGATTTTATGTGCTTCCAGATAAATTTAAAGCACAGAACAGGATCATTTACTAATTTTGGAATTTATAGTTACACTTAGGGATGAAGTTACAATATGAATTACTGCTATTAGTATTCCCTTATTTTTCTTAAACACAAAATTTTTAATATTATCAGGACATTTATAACCTTTTTTTGTGCACTAGAATAAATTTTTTAAAAGTCTTTTTCAGCAGTTCTTCAATTTTCTTACAGAACATTTTAAAGTGATTGAACTTATACCTAGCATGTATAAGACACAGCAGTTATGATTGGCACTAATTTAACTATCTCAAATTAAAATGTATCTCTAGCCTTTTTTATCTTTCAATTATAAAGCTGACAGACAACTATGTACTGATGTCAGACAGTGCTTTTAAAACAGGTGTCAGTATGCAGTAGTCTTGGTTATGCAAATTTGATTCTCTTTACTGAATTCCTGCATATTTCCTGTGTAAGAGTATCACCAGCTTCAAAAGGTGAAACATAATAGAACCCAATGGATACAATCTATTTTTGGACATTGTATTTCCAAAAATTGTAATTGTATTCTGAGAGCGACAAATTCTGTCTTTTTTTGATGGGATGAAGTTACTACTAAAATTGTAACAGTTCACAGAGAACTTCTGCCTGAGAGAAAAATAGCAGTAATATTTAAGACAGAACAACTCACAGGCTGATATTTAATATCTCTCTTCATTTGGTAATTTTAAGACAGCAGTCCTAAATCTGTTTCCATTAACTGCAAACAAATAAACAAATAAAAACAATCCCAGCAGACTGGAAGGAATAGGGTATGTCGAAAAGAAGGAATGTCAGGGAAAGTGAGAGGAAAGGGAAAAAGAAGATTAGAGCTTCACAAAATATAGGTCTCTGCCGGTAGACCATCCTGTCGCCAGAGTGACTCAGAGTTATCCTTTTTAGCTTTAACTTATGCTAGAGAAAAGGAGAATCAGGCAACCCCAGTGAATTTACTTTTAACTTCCCATTGCACTTTCACAGATTTTTCTCACAAACTGTTGAGAATCAACTTCTGTTGCTTGCACCAAATATTTTAGATTTAGTATGCTACTTCAGAAGCTTTTCCAGCTTCTGAACCTGAAATATATCAAATTACTAGAAAATAATTTACCAGAATTATTAATGATCAGTAAGTAAATGTTATGTACTTTTTACACTTTCTAATGGTGCGCTGAAATTTAAGTGCTTCACAGATCACTTCTTTCCTACCTGAAATTACACCGACCATTAATCAGCATACAAAACCTTCTGTTGTGCAACATATTCCATGAAAAAATGTCACTTACAAAATGTTATATACATTTTAGCCATTTTGCAGCGCATTTTAATGTCTAGACCTGAAAATGTACTCAGTAATGTGAGGGGATGAAACAATTCTTTGCCAGCAGTAGCACGTTCTTCACTGCTCACAATGAAGAACTACAGGACTATGACTTGGTTCAGCACATTACTTCAGCACATTTTCAGTCTTCCAAGAGATACTGCAATGACAAGGAATTTTTTTTTTCCCCAAAAGTCAGATTTTATTTTACTCATCATTCTTTCTGAGAAGATGTCTGTTGGTTCTGTTCTTGCATCTACATAGGATGGAACTAAAGATTGGACCTAAAAGAGGAAAAGTCAAATGAAGCTATACTCGCAAGTCTCTCACATTTCAAACTTAAAGCAAAATCGTAAAATCCAGTCACACTGAAGTGAAAACAATTCTTTTTCATGTGTGTCAGTTAGTTCAGGAAGTTTATTCAATTTATGGAACTTCCCAGACAGGAAAGAAAACTTACAAGAAATAAACCTAATAAGCCCATTTACACAGAGAGATAGAGAGGAACAAAAAATAAGTTTTTGTTTTCAGAAGGACTTGAATTAGTTTGTTCTATTTCATACCAACCTTTTTTTTTTTCCCCAAAAACCTGCCATTTAGACCTTATTGTAAATATGGGTAGAGAAGTAATGCTATAAAAAGTTCAGTGTTGCAAGTAGAAAAAGATATCTAAGCATTACATTTTAAAGAGATTATCTAGCTCAAATGTGTATCAGTTTATTATCCATTATAATCCCCAAAGTTTTCCATATATTAGAAACTACATTTCATATATCAAACTTTGTTCCACGATTTACTTTTAACTATTATTGAGTAAAGTTGCATTCTGTTTGTATTTAATCTTTAGAGCATTATAAAAAACCAAAAAAAAACCCCAACCCCCCCAAAAAACGCAATGTAATGAACAGCCAGATAAAACTAAAAAGATTTTCTAACATACATTTCCTTACTGTAAGTTACTTTCATACTTTTTTATGTTACGTCTGTTTCACAGATCACTTATTTCCTATCTGAAATTGCCTCGGTTACAGATCAGGTATGGAAATACCATGTTCCCAGGGCAATGAATCTATTAATTTGTGGGCCAATAATCTAGGCAAACATTTTAAAATTTCCTCTGCAAATTTACTCAGTTTTCTTCTTTTCCATAAATTAGTAGAGAGAGGATTTGTGTTGCATTTCAGGGCCTTCACCATCAAACTATAGAGCACGGTCTTGCAACACTAACCAGAAGACTGAATATCACTTTGAAAATAGCTTCTTTTACAGTTTTTAGTTTTTAAAACTATGTGCATGTGACCTGAGTCATAACTGCTGCTATGATCAGCTAGTTTAGACACTGGTACGGAAAAGAACATACTCTACTATGGTCTGATGGAAATGTTATCCTTTTATTCTCTTCTTCCTGTTATGTCAACCAGTTTAGCATTCAGATGGAGTGCAGAATGGAAGAAATATTTTCAAATTACACACCACTGTCTTTGTTAATTCCTTCTCTTCAAAATGAGATACATCTCTACAACATTATTTTTACATGTAGTTGCAAGTGCCCATTATTTCACCCCAAGACTACAGTATTTTAAATTTATATCATGATTATAAAACAAGAAATTCCCTTGTTAATGTAAGAAATTTATAAGAAATTCATTCTACTTACTACTCCACTAAAAATAAAAAATAAAAAGAAAAATAAAAATTCTTAAAGTTACATAACTTTAGTTTTTTAGGAAGTCATTGTTAATAAGGAAAATACAACATTCCATCCAGGTATCCAAGTTAAAAAGCTCGAATCATTTCCACTTAGTCAACCTCACCTGCACATGTTACTTCATGAACTGTGAAAATTTCTGCTACTTAGGCACCCAAATATGGGTACAGCCATCTAACTTTAGGCAAAGAAAAAAAATGAATTTTTGCAACATTTTCTTAAATCATTTGGGGAGTGGCTTTTCACCATTTTATTTGGGTGGTTGCACGATCTAATCCTTAATTTTATAGTAATAGTTCTAGAGGTGATTAATTTTTCTTGCTTCCACATAGCACAAGAAACCATTCTATAGGCAAGTACCATCCACATGGGCAGAGATGATTAAGTTATGACCAAAATGGCCCATGAGGGAACTTGCCTCTTGTTCTTAAATATGAGAATCTTAGATTTCATCCTAGTTTAATTTTCTCCTCCTCTTGAGAGGATTTGATCCCATATCATCTACCTCTGAGAGATTGGTCTTCATCAGCTTGCTGTAGGGCTCGGGTGCTCTTAGGCTGTCACAATGTTTTTCCACTCTCTCTGTCCTCCCTTTTTAGTTGGGCAGAAAGGCAGAGAAACAGTACCAAATAAAGTATTGTTCACAGAAGAGGTGATCTTCGTTCAGGTCTTTGCCCTGAATCAGAGGAGGTAGGGGTCACCTGCACCATAGATAATACTCTAACCAGAAGGCAATGAGTGAAAGGATAGCTAAGAGTTTCTTTTTTAATTAAATTTCAACACTATTCTTGCAAAAGAGAATCAAGATTTTACACAGTTCTACATAGCTTACATTTTTAAGTGAAGTATGTATAATCATTGAAATAAATTGTATCTGCAGAAATATAAACCATATCAACTCTTGCTCTATAATAAAGATGACATTTAGAAAGCAACATACTCATATACTGTTCGCAGCAGAGAAACATCATACATGGAGAATTCTGCTACTCTCCAAATAAATCAGCAAAGCTACAGTATCAGCCCCTGTATTCCTCCTGAAAATGTATTTCCACTGTGAACCCTAAACACAGATGAGAGAGCAAGGGCTAATATTATTAATTTAATTATTAATCTCATAATTCTCTATATTCACCTCTCCCTACAGACTCACAAAAATTTAATTTTTTTTAAATGTAAAATTATGGGTCACACAGTGTGCCATCTCTCCTGAAGTATTCCTATTTCTTTGTTGTTTAGCTGCACTTTATCCAGCTTTGGAGACCTGATGGTTCTTACCATGTGTTTGTAAAGATCTTAGATCTTTCTATAGATCCTGTAGGCACTACTGCAATAAAACAGTGATGTTCTAAATTTAAATAGTTTCTACATATAAATACTGTCATGATAGCTTTTTCTTTTTATACCAAGCTTTGATTATCATCCAAAATAAGCATGACTGCTTATTTTTTCTGAAAAGGAGACATGGTGGAAATACAGCCATGTAGCTTTTACTAGCCTACAGATTGCTCCTTTTTTTCTTTTTTTCTTTTCTTTTCTGAATCCAATTCCTTCATAGGTTTTCCTTTTCATGGAAGAGAACTACAATTTTTCTTTCTTCGTGATTTTTAATATTACTCTAAAAGTCATTTTGGGCCAAGTTTAATACACTCAGCTTTATGTAGGAAAACCTATTTATTTCTATAAATGAAGCAGAAAATAGCTCTTAATTGATACTGCAGTACATGAGCAACCATGTCAGAATCGCTCAATCGGCAACCCTTTCTCCCAACACTATGAACTGAAGTCTAGTGTTAGCTTTGTCTAGAGTCATAATAAATATATGAAGAACCAAATCAATAAAAGTTGTGAAGTCAGACCATAGTTTGCAATTTATGTTTTAGGTTAAATACAGGCTCGCTCTTCGCTCAACCGCATATTGTATATCAGATAGAAGTGAAAGGTGTTCAGAATGTAAGTTCATATTATCTATGTACACAAATAGCAGCAGAAGAAAATCTCATTCAGCATTTTAAATGCTATCAGATGCACTGTTGGAACTACATATAACCAGGACTCAAGGCACTGTTGGAACTACATATAACCAGGACTCAAGGTAATGCAGTACCACAACGCACAGAGAGGAAAGCCATTTGTTGGGGGTCTTCGCAGTGCATAGGGCATGTACTGTTGTATTCTATCACAATATGTAGGATAATCACCCATTTGCTTGCCACTCCTGTATACTATCTAAAACAATCTAAATAATTCTGCTTCAAAGAATCCTGCTATTGACTACATTGATTAAATAATACCTGTGCCAGAACCTGCTCTTTCTACTGAAATTAACTGAGAATGCAACTTACATAATGACTTCTGTAAACTGGGATTTGCTGAGAAGGACCTGTCATTTGAAACTCAGAACCTAACAGGCACGACGGAAATAGTTTCATTGAAAAACTGTGAAAACGCTCTTCATGAACTGTGTCCTTTCCAAACATTATATGAAGAGAGATATATTTTTCAGCAGGTCAACCCTGAATTTAAGAGAGATGTTGAGCTAAATGCTCCATCTTGTCTTAACCCGTTCTTATTCCTTCTTAGAGGTTTATTATAAACTGACAAAATGTATAATGACACTTTTCAGATAACTTGTTATGTATTTTACTCTTATTTTGTTATATATTTTAATCCTTATAAGAATAAAAAGTTGAAAATCCAGCAGTAATACTGTTAATTTTAATAGAGTGTATATGTGACTTTTGGGACAATTAATAAAATATGTTCAATGCAGTGAAGTTGAATAACTACGAGAAATCAAGTGTGTTTTTTTAACAGTAAATGACAGAACACTGAAAAATACAGGGTGACTGAACTACTAATTATAATTTGAAACTCAAGTCTTGCAGTGATTGTTAAAGTTCTGTGAATGATTAAAAACAATAATCTTTTACATATTTATATACACTGATGTTATGAAATGCAATGAATTCTATTTACACAGTATCGTAGATTTTTTTTTAAATATTAAGCAATTACGTTTATAGGAAAACAATACCAAACAGACATGAAAACTATATTAACCAGTTTAATCAGGTTTTTTTAGAAGCTGGTATATTTTAAAATAGGCTACGATAATAAAGTAAAGCAAGAAGTCAATTCAAAAATTTTTGCTCCTTACCATTCACAATAACAATTATGTCCCGAAAGTCAATTTCTCCTCTGGCTTCCACTCTTCCTTCACATCTGTATACACCTTCGTCACTTTTATTGATGTTAAGAATTTGGAGATTATTGTTTGCTAATATTGCAAATCGATCTAGAAATGCAAGTAAGAGATTAAGTGGTGTCAGTAAATCAAGACAACATAAAGAATGCTAACTTAAATGAGTTTTATTTATATACTTTCTCTGTACAATCAGAATGCGTATTGACAAAACATTTACCAATTTAAAAGTAAAATGGCAGACAAGAATTTTTTTTCCCCCCACTCCAGAATACATTGCTATTTCCCGAAATTCAACCTGGATTTTCCATCCATAACTTTCTACTTACTCTGAGGAGTCATCAAATGTAAGTTAAATTTATAAATTATTGCTAAACAAGTGGATTATTCATGAACGCCTACACAGAATATCAAAAAGATTAAAGAGAAGGGAAAAAGATAAATTGAGCAATTTATAAGAAAATAAGTAAGAAAATGCTTCTTCCCTCTCTATCTAGATCAGCCAACTGTCTTTGTGCCCATTTTACAGCACTATGCTTAAACATTTCTCAGCTTGCTTGCTCTCTTTCCCTCCTTCAATTCCTTTGTTCATTCACTGTTAGTCAACAAGGAATCCCACCATAGTCTAACACTTCATAGAAATGGGTACAAAGACATAATCCAACAAACCACTCCACCTTCTGCATAGTCCAACATAAACTGAAATTCAATAGACCTTCCGAGTAGTTGAAGTTCATTGAAAAAATCAGATTCTGAACAAGTGTGCATAGATTTTCCTGCACGTGCAGCAGCAAAATTATAATCTGCAAGAGTAAACTGAGTCTATTTTTTTCTCTCCTTTCTGTCTGAACTAGTGTATCGGGTTTACATGGCCAGATGTTGCCAGCAGCAGGGCTGTAGGGAGGCCAGGGGTGCTCTGTGCCAGACACAGCTGGTTCCAGTGAGCTCCAGTGGATCTACTGCAGGGCACAGCCGAGCCCCGCAGCCAAGGTGGTGGCACCCCGGGGAAAATGTGTATAACAAAGGGCAAAAAAAGCTGCGCAGCAACTGAGAGAGAGGAATGAGAAAAATAGTTAAGTCTTGCTCATTTGAAGTCTGTCTTATCTAGTCCTTCAGAATAAGAGAGAATGCTTTTTTATGGACCACACCAACCATAAGATAACATGCAGTTACCTAGAACTGTAACTAGATGGATTTTCAAAAAGTAAATTCTAATAGTTTTCCAGAACTTTTATCATATATAAATTGTGGTCCTGAAGAAAATCATCTTATATACTAAAAATACCTATGTGGGGCAAAAAAATCCCTACCCTAATAGAATTACATAATTGAGAATGTAAAACAATAAAACATATCAAAGCATAAGGGAAACATGAAGGATGCACCAGTCCCCAACATTTTCTATCAATTTCTATACAATTTTCTACATGCATTATAGTTAAATACCGCACCTGTGATATGTTTATAGAAAACTGCTAACCTGACAGCGGAATTCTGACAAACCATAATGATTTGATCAGTGACAGAATAAAACATGCATATTTATACAGATAGTGGGTAATTTATATGTAGCATATTTGTATTAACAGTGTCAGCTAATCTTCTGAGGTTAACTCCAACCATAAACTAATATACAAATGTCTGTACCTAAAATTTCTATATTTGCTTTAAGCACTGTAGAATGAGTTGTATTTAATGTCCTTTGAAGCCCCAGAATTGTGCACAAACATAGCAAATTACTTATGACTCCAGATAAGATCTGATCAATGAAAACAGTCCCATTCACTTTTATAGCTAGTAAAATATCCCTGACCCCCATACAATGGAATTATAAGTCATGACAATTCAGCTCTTGAAAACAATAGAGAAATTCTCAGAACATTCCCACAAAATTATGCTTTATATATTGCTCTATTGAACCTTAGACATACAGTGTAAGAGCAGAAAGACTTTTGGAGGTCATTGTTCACCTCGGGTTTTGGTTGTTTGTTGTTGGTTTTTTTCTTTTACTGAAGAATGGACAGCCACTCCCATGTTTCTTACTCACATCTTTCTTTGCAGGACTCAAAAGAGACTATAAATCTTAGAATGATCTGCAATGCAGGTAGGTTACTTGGAATATACAGAAAGTAATTCAGAATGGTGAGAGGCTATTTCAGCTATAGCTATTTCAGCTATGGGCCTACTACACAGCAAAAATCTTCTGATTTCACTTCTGATTTTGTGCACATGCCTTCTGGGAGAAGAAATGAGGATTCTGTTTAAAAGGAATATACAAATATGATAGATAATTGTAATTGTCAAGAATTTGCAAAACTGAAATAGTCAAAAGTCTGTGCTGCAAAAATCCCACTAGTTGTAACATATACAACAGGTAAATGGTCAAGAATATAACAGAAAAGCCATGAAATTAAAGCAATGACATTATTTCATGTCTTCCTATTATGCTAGTGCTAGAATGATTAAAATAGAAACTGCTTTCTCATGCCCCAGAAATAAACTGCAATATCCAATTCAGTTTGGATACGGATATGAAATTATTCAGCATTTTAGCCTACTATGAACCAAAACCCAGCAAGAATAATCAGTTACTTTTTAAATAGACGCCATTTAGAATATGACAGACAAATTTGATGTTATTTAATTTAAAATTATGCAAATAGCTTACAGGTACTAATCCTTCACCTGGGATTTTGAAGCTAGAAATGTAATGTGAAACTGAGTCTTTTTATTTCAAAAGGCATAAAAAAAAATTCTTAACTGTAAGATTTGGTATACTCTTTTTCAGCCTGCATTATAAACCCATGTAGACATTGCATAAACTCACAAAGTTCACAATGTCCTATTTTTACATTACTTAAAACCTTACTTCCTCCCAAGCATGACGGGGATCTTAGATGGGTCTAGATCTGAACATAAGGTAAGTATTCTGCCAAAATTAAAACTGGTTTCTATCATTCTACCTTTTTTACACTGTAAGCATTGTGAAAGAAAATGGTTAAAAAGACAAATTTATGCATTTAAATTTAAAAACTTACAATCTTCGGAATGTATGATTTTGAAAAAGAAAGGAAATGTTGCTTTATTCCCTTTGCTAATCCTACAGCAGACATATTGATTGGAGAAACAAATAAAATGGCAACATTAAAAATTTTTGAGAGAGATCTTTGAGGTACTTTTACTTTTTCAAGCTCTGAGATGCATCCTTGAAAAACACTTTTTGCTAAATTGCCAAATCTTGCTTTGTTTTCAGAGTTCTTATTTTTCAAAATCTTCTATGTCTCATCTACATCCACTGATCAGTTACACATATCAAAATTTCAACTTTTTTTCCCTAAGTGTTGAAGTTTGCTATTTCTTTTTACTGTCTGTTTCTAGATGACAGAAGGGATAGGATATGCTAAAGAAGAAAGAAGTTTAATCAAATCTTTCTTTCATAATACAGAGGAGTGTAAAACGGAGTCCAGAAACATCAAACATTTCTTTTTTTTCCCTTCAGCAACTGCTCCACATTTGTTTACGTGATGTCATAAGAGACCAAATATAACTTTTCATTTTCATTTTGAAATAAAAATAATATCTAAAGAACAAGAATTTTAAGTGCATACACTACAACCTTGAGTTTTAGTACATGCGGAGATAAAGACTGATGAGAAGATGCATAAGCTGGTTCATCAATACTCTTAGTTCCATTTCCAGAACATGTGGAAAGTCTTCTTTTCCATCAAGGCAAAGAATACTATTGAGACAGCACTGAAAAACTGGTTCACAGCTTTTGAGGGGGTAAATCACAAAAATTCTATATGCCTGATTAACTGTCTCTCTACAGGGTTAGAACTTGCATGTGGGGAAAGTGAAATTCATCTTTGTTTAACTTTACCAGTCTAACTGCTAGGGAACCTAGCCTAAACAGATCACCTATATCACAGTTGTTTGTAACTCAAAAGGTAGCTTATACTCTTACAAGTAAATTCTCATAATAGTGCAAAAAGCCTGTCCACCTGGAATTCTCTGAGCTAATGTGCAGGTATACCAAAGTCAATGCATTCTTTGCTCAGTGTCATAGCTTTGTGTGCACAAAGTTGTTTATCTGTGTGTGTTTTAAAAATGTGTTCAACTCCTACATCCATGGCAACCCAGGAAGAGTTCCTGCGAAGGAGCTCCCAGCAATCTTTTGGGAATTGGACCCTCGTGTTACATTTAGACAAAATTTCCAATCAGAAAAAAATTATACATGAAGGAAACCATGTAATAGGACTCTCTGTAGACCACAGAACCTGGTTACATTCTACTTAAGTTGATGGGCTAAGCAAAATCCACCCTCCACTATATTGTGACTAGTCGTCTTTTACAATAATATTTTAATATTAATTAGAATGTATAACTTAAAGAGTTACCAAAATACTAACTGTCAGCAATAGTTGTGACTTCCTCATTCCGATACAACCAGCTGACAATGGGAGCAGGTGAACTAGTAACACGGCAAACAACTTCTGCATCTTCTCCCTGCCTGAACTCTTGTGGAGATACTATGTCTCGGAAAGTGAGCTTTTCTGAAAAGGAAGAAAACAAAATATAGTAAGAGTCTTCCAGTTCACTCAGCAGTAAACTTATGTGACACCAATTCAGATAAAGATAACTATTAAGACTTCTCATTGTGATAATACAGAAATATTTCCATAATATAATTTTCCCAGATTAGACTCAAATGATCCTGGAAACATGACTTTCACTCTGTTTGTAGAAATGATTTTACAATCATTTTGCATTATGAAAATCTTTGTTTTAGTTATATAAACTAAGCATGTTTTATAAATAAATTTTTCATTGTTTTCAATGTTGTAGAGCCCAGTTTTGGAACTCTTTCGAGGAAATAACAGGACTTTTTTAGCTCTGATGGGGTTTTTAATTATTCTAACCCCAAATAACCAAACTTGATATTTAATTTTATTCGTGGGTTGAATAAATATTTAGTATTAGAAGTCCAAATGGCATTAATCCATGACCTCATACAAGGTCTAATGCAGAAACTAATCGCCTGACAAAAAAATTCTGGAAGATTTTTTTGCACACAGAAGAAACAAACTGATCTCTGTTCTCTAGGATCAAAGACTGTGAATTATGTTTAAGAGGACACTTTGGAGAACGTAAGTCAGAGATGCAACTCCAGCGTCACCCTTTTGCATCAACAGGAGTGCAGGCTCAAATAATCCACACAGTTCCCACAGCAGAGGGAGCACACTTTTGTTATATACATCGCTTGTATACTTTTACAGAGTATTTGTATGAAATGTTTGAAGTATGTGACCATATGTAAGCCAAAAGAAAAACTCTTACAGACATCAGTGAGTACTGAACCAGGTCCTAGGAGTACAGTGTATCATGTTCATTTCAGTCTAAACTCCACTTTTTTACTGACGTATATTGCGCTTCCTGCACTTTTATTTATGTACGTATTTGTAATAGACTGTAGATGCACTTGTAATAAGAATTATGTTGACATAACATTTTTCTCATATTTCCTCTTTTCCATGAGGGCCATACAATGCACCCTCACAAGATGGCATTCTAAGACACAAAGGACAAGTGATCTACAATATTACAAAGTGATATTAAGATCACTTAAGCGTTTGTCATAATATTTATTAAATAAATTGCAGGAGATGTAATTATTTGGAAGATAAGGTTCAGAGCCTGGGAAGATATTTTGATAGGCATTACTTTCTCAACAGCAGTAGCTTTTAAAACATAGTCTTTCATTTGTTAATTGATAATATTTTACTTACGATAGATTTCCAAAACAACAGTAGCCTCTTGAGTTTGTCCTTTAGCATCTGTTGCTTGACACCGATATATACCAGCATCTTCTATATCCGCATTATAAATGGTTAGACGTGATCGAACACCTTCTTTCTGAACAACCACTCTTTGATTAGAAACAATCTTCTCTCCTTGTGGATTATACCAATCTATATTGTCAGGCTCACCAATGGCTATAAATAAAACCAAAAAACAATCCAACATAAGAAGTTCAGGTAGATATTACGCAATGCATAAGGCCACCCAATGTACAATGTCTACGCAATGTCAGAGAATTGCTAAATTATGCAAGTTGTGAGAAAGTCTCTGGAAAGATAAGCAAGACAAAACTTCAGGCAGATGTATGATTGTTGAGACAGGATAACTAGTGGCTCAGGGATTCAAGAGGGAAAACAATAAACACAGAAAGGTAAAAAGTCTTAAAGGAAAGAAACAGGCTGTTCAGCAGTCAGGTCAAGTCATCAGCCAGTTGGGTTGTCAGTCTAGTCAGGCCATGTGTCATTATCAATGGAAGATCAGATCCTCAGCAACATCGAGGATCCACATCAAGCAGCTGCAAATGCAAACCTTTCTCCTTTTGACTGGTATAGGCCTCACCAGAAAAGACTCTTTGGGTGTCTCATTAGGTTGGAGAGGGAACTAAAGCTTAGCCTAATAGCTTAACTCCTTAGTTTAGACAGGTGAAAATATTTTAACAAAAGCAGCATTCTAACAGATATGAATTACTGGTACTGATATAGACGATTTAAACAGAATGATTCGGGGTTTGAAATGAATAGTTTCTAGGCTGGAAACGTGCAGCCCGTGAAGATCTACTATTTATCACAATTTTCACAAGTCAATGTGAATATACAAAAATATGCTACTTTAAGTTAGTATTGTGAATCAATTAATTCCGTTTTAAATTATGTAGGAGATCAAAAATCTAACAAAAATACACACCTACAACTAAATACATACCTGTGCATGTGAAGAATTTGGATTCACCCACGCTGAGCTCAACTTTGCTAAGTGAAATTGTAACTTGAAGTAGAGCTGAAAAATATAAAGTAGGTTGTGAATGCATTTTAGCATTTATCAGTTTAAATTATGTTTTCAGTTTTTTTTGTTGTCTCATTCTATACTATAGAATCTGTTCAACAAATCTGACAAGTTTCTGCTAAGCATTGTATCTTTTGAACCAGAGTGTATATAGAGGTGGAAAAAACAATCAAAATAAAGAAAAGATGTCACACGAAAGTTAACAGCCTCACATCCTACAACTGAGGACAAAATTAAAGAAAAAAAAGAAAAAGGAATACATGTTGGGATCACCCTGCATGGCTCGATCTTAAGGAGAAGGAGCTGTGGCACTGAGAAGCTGGTAAACAGCTGGATATCTGCACGGCTCGGCCTTGAGGAGAAGGAGCTGTGGTAAACAACTAAGAAGAAGCGAGGAAAACAGGAACACCTGCAAGCAGCAATCCTGACTGTGTGAGGGGCGCGTGGACAGCGCGTGGTATTTTGTATATAGCCAATTGCAATAATGTGTGTAACAAGTTGTAACCAATCATGAGTGTGTGCGCAGTGACTAAGCGAAAATTATGATATATATTGGAGTCAGACAAGACAATAAACGGCTTCGGAATATAACTCTCATAGAGTTGTGAAGTCCATCCTTCTCCCGCACATACACATGAACATGAAACCAAAAATCTAGTGAGAATAAAGTGACTGGGAACATTCAGCACAGACTGACCATAAATCATGCCTGATCAACCCCATTGCCTTCTAGGATAAAATGATTAGTTTTGTAGATGAGGGAAGAACAGTGGGTGGCAATTACCTTGACTTTACTACGGCTTTTGACACTGCCACCCACAATATTCTCATATTCAAGTGTATTGCATATAAATAGCAAGGTTTTGGTAGCGGGAGATAGTGCAAGGGTGATTTCTGTGGGAGGAAGGTCAGGGGTTGCACTGTGACAGACACAGCCAGTTCTAGCTGGCTTCACAGCAGGACATAGCTAAGCCAGTTGCAGGAGTTTGTGGCACCTTTTAGAACTCCAAGACAGAGGAACAAAAAGACCAGAGCAATAGGAGGTGCTCCATGGTACAACTGGTAACACCCCTGAAGGGACTGTAGCCCATGCATAAGCCCATGCCAGAGCAAGTACATCTCCAAAAGGACTTTGGCCTGTGCATAATCCACAATGAAACAGAGGAAATGAGCTAGGCAGAAGGAGCAGTGGAAGAAAAGAGTGGGAAAGAAGGAATGGCGGAAAGAAACCACTATGTCTTCACCCCAACGTCCTGCATCACCCATCACCTCACTGAAGGGACTGAGTGTAACCTGCATTGCTGGTGATAACAAGGGAAGTGGAGACTAGGTATGGGGAAGAAGAGGTATCTGGAACTTTGGAAAGGGGAAGAAAGGTGCTTTCCCTAAGTGTTTAAGTATTTGTCTTTGTTTCACAATACTCATATCAGTACTTAAATGTTTATGTTAATGGTTGATAATGATAGAGCCTGTTTTGCCCACAACAGTAATATGCCAGTGATTTTCCTGTCTTTACCTTGACCCATGAGTTTTCTCACTCCCCGTCTTCCTATTTTCATCCCTGTCTTGCTGGTTGTGGGGGTGACCAAGTGGCTGTGTGGGTGCTTGGCTGCCAGACAAAGTCAACCCACCACATCAAGTTAGGGTGTTACAGTCCGGATGACTGGAAAGCTGTGCTGGTAAAACCCTAGTTGGATGGTTAGGCTTAGAAGGCAGTGGCTAATGGGTCATACCCTACCCAGAGACCAGTAAAAAGTGGGGTACTGTAGGGTTCTCTGCTGGGATCTGTCCTATTTAACACCTTTATCAATGATGTGAAGGAGGTCATTGACCTAGAGAGACTGGAAGAATGTATAACAGGAACAATATCAACAGGAATTAATATTCAATAGGGATAAATGCTAAGTTCTGCACCTGGGAGAGAATAACCTGTTGGGAGTCATACCACTGGTGAGGAGAGGCTGGGCGAAACTAGGCTTGTTCAGGCTGCAGAAGTGAGCGCTGCAGGGGAACCTAACAGCCACATGCCCATACCTATCGGGAGTTCATCAAGACGACGGAGCCAGGCTCTTCATGGTGGTGTATGGCAGATAGACAGAAGATGAGTTGAAACAAGACAGGTTCAGGCTGAGCATAAGGAGAAACTTTTTCATGATGTGGACAGCGAGAAAGTGAAGCAGATTGCCCAGAAAGATGATGCAATATCTGGTCTTTGAGGTTTCAGGAGCTCACACGATAAAGCCTTGAACAATCTGGTCTGTCTTTTAATTGACCCCACTTTGAGCAGGAGGTTGGACTAGAGACCTTCTTAAGTCCCTTCCACCTTGAAATACCTTATGATCCCATGACCCTATGAATAACCTAGCCAACATGGCCAGTACTATCGGTGAAGGGCTTCTTCATGCAAAATAACTATGCACTCTTCAATAATCACAATTACAGCACTATCATCACCCTAAGTAGCTGTAGCTCTTTAACATCCATTACCTTACAAAATTGCACAATAGATGTTCGTAAACTAATAACAAAGATAAAGAGAATCACGTTAATGTCAAGCTCTAATCAAGACAGAAAATGTCAAACAGACAAAAAAAGACTAATTTTTTAGAGAAGAAAATAATCTACATTTTCATTAGGTATTATGCATAGTAGAGAACTGGGGTGTATCTGAAGTTTAAAAAAACTGTTTCAAGAATTTGGGGTTTTCAGTCTTGAAGTATAACAGTTACGGTCTATTCTGTGTATGTGGAAATATTTCACCTTTTTGAAAACTGCAACATGAACTACAGTGTATACTGAATGTCCCAAGCTCACTAGATTCCTTTTGTACAATTGGTACAAAAGTAAAACAAGACAAACATCTTCAGTAGGTGGCGAGTATTACACTCCAAACTAACTTTTCAATGTGACGAATTTTACTCATGAATATGTTAGAACTTTAAAACCTGCTAAAAACCACTATCTGTTGATAGTAAAAATTAAAGAAAAGATGAGCACAGAAAAAATCATTGAGTAGTATTCCATACATATTAATGTGGCAATTATTACAATTAAGATAAAAATGTCATGAAATAGATTTGCTATTAACTGATGTACTTTCATGTAATCAGCCTGGATAAGCAAGAATAAGGCCAGATTTGAATTTTTTGTTCAATAGTCATATCAAAAGCCAAACCAAAAAGGGCCAAAGAAAACTGAAGATTCCTTCAGTATCAGTCTGACAAACTACATTTAATAACATTTAATAACATAATATTTTTCATGAGATGTCCTGAATTGGGGATACTTTTCCTGTGGACATGTTCAGAACTTCACTTCTTTTTAAATTATTATGAATGTTTTACACCCTACAACCCCGTAAGAAAATAGTTAAGAAAAACCACAAAAAAGCCCCCAAGAACACATCCTACTTCAGGCAAAAGTAAGTATTGTATATATTCTCTTTGCTAACAACAAAACCTGTCAGTCCATAAGGACCATCATGAAGAGGGCATGACTGCCTAGAGGTCAGGAAGAAACTGAGGTTGTCTGTAAAAATGCTGAATCTAGTAGCAGAGCAAGTGCTAGTACTATTCTCACTGCAATAGCAAGGAATACAGTGAAGGCTCCTTAAGGACACACACAGCGCTGACAGAGAGACTAATGTGCTCATTCTCATGTATGGTCTTTATGTCCATGGCACCAGAAGCAAAGGACAAGCTTAAGTGTCTGGAAGCAAATGAGTTTCAGAGAAAGTTTTATTTTTGTTGTAATAAGCATCCAGGAGTAATAAATCATCCAGGAGGCTACTCAAAGCCTCAGTTCTTTATTTACCTGTCAGGGTAAGCTTCACTTTACCCTCAGGGCATACAACTAGTGGTTGGAAACCAAAGTACTAATAAATTCAGACGATGGGGAATTTCAAGAGATTAGAGCCCAGACATTTATTTCAAATCACAGACTCACTTTTTAGGTCCTATGCCACCAGTTGTCTGGTACTATATATTTTATAGAGTTTGTAGCCTTGTGGAGTTGCTTCAGAAATATATATGTTAGCATTTCAGCAGTATTGCTTCAAGGACGATTTCATTGCTCAGTTCCAATAAGTAATAACTGATGCTGGACTATGTAAATTCAATAGACTGAGTTATAAATGTCAGGTATAATGTAAGGAACTGCATGACGAGAGGTGAAAAGCAAAGTTAGAGAACATGTTTCCTTCATCAATGAAATAGACAGTTGAGACTGTAACACAGTTTTGGCAAAGGGCCGAACATCATTTAGAATTCTTAGCACAAATGCAATTATAAACTCTGTGGAGACATGCTAGCTACATCTCTGAAACCAAAAGGAAATAATATTTTCTACATATGGTGCTTTAATATTTACAAAATAGAAAAATATAAGACCATCTGTCCAAGTATTCCAGCCTCATCATATTCCTAGTTCTGCTTCACATAAATAGGAAATTATTGCTTTATGCAAACTAAACTGAAAAATATTGCCCAAGTGATTAATCTAGCAATCTGTGTTTATTAGGTAGTCAGGAAAATAGTCTAGTACTACACTAGGAGAAGGCTCACCCATCACTTAAAGTAAAATATTTCAAAGAAACAACACATCCAGAAAGTTTTACATTATTTCCAAATTTATATCAAGAAGAACTTACACAGATGCATTAGGTCATTATAAGCTCTGATGAAGATGGCATGCAATGTACAGAAAATCCAAGTTATTGCTTGACTACTAACAGATAATGGGTTAATATAAAAGGGAGTTATTTGTACCAGACTGGTCTGAAGGTCTTTGAATACACAGGTGAATGATTGTTTTATCAGGTCACTGAAGATGTTAAAAAAATTCAAGTCAGTAGAGGTTGTGTCTAGCTATGTTAAACCAAGGCCAGTGATTAATAGTTGCTTCTGAGTGGTCAAGCATTGGAACAGGCTGCCCAGGGAGGTGGTACAGTCACCATCACTGGAAGTGTTCAAAAAACGTGTGGACGTGGCACTTCAGGACATGATTTAGGGGGCATGGTGGTGTTGGGTTAATGGTTGGACTTGATCTTGAAGGTCTTTTCCAACCTTAATAATTCTGTGATTCTGTGATTCTTGATAGATCTGACAAAATATTGCCTCCTCCCATGTTTCCAAAGATATTACCCAACTAGCTATAAGTAAGTTAAAAAAAAAGAAAAAAAAAGGCCAGGCTTAGAAGATCCCTTTAGGTAGAATACTGTGGAGTGTAATGCTACTGTAGTATAACTGTTCTGGCAAAAAGTGCAGTCAGTCAGGGCTTTGCTCAGTCTTCAGTACACGTGCAATTTTATAGGGGAAAAAAAACAGTTAGCACTAGGTGATATAACCAATCCCTTCCCTTTTGATCATAGTCATTATGAAAGAATGTAGCTGTACTACACTAAGAGGGTTCTGCTGAATTATTCCTTAATGGGTTTAAAAATCACTTCGGAAGATAAGTAAGAATAGTAATAAGAGGTCCATTTGTTCTGTTAAATATGGAGACAGATGACTCTATTCATATGAACTAATATTTAGTAGACTAATTGATTTCAGCCCCATTTGCACAAGTATCCTTCACATTTCAGAACCAGCATCATAAACCTGTCATAGCTCTGTCTACACTGATGATTACCTAATGCAAAAGAAATGAGGTGTCATCAGTGAGAGCTTAGAAGAAGTGTAAGAGTCACTAGCATATGTACTTCTATTGTCACTTAGCAATATACTGAAACACGTTAAATGTGCATACTATACAAATGTATATTTAAAAAATATGATATATAAAATATTAAAAAGAAGAATAATATGCTTAGAAAACTTGGCTTTATTATTCTTGAACATGAAGAAATTACTAAATTTTTAATCGGTATCAAATTCAATCCCAAAACAACCATTCACCCAGTTAATCTTTTTTCCCCGTATTATGGAGGCTTCTGAGAATATTCTGTTTAAATCCACTGGTTTCCAGATAAAAGTGAGTAGGATTTGAATGAAAATTACACTAACACAATCCTTGTAGAAATGGATTCTCTCTTAAATGGCTGTCTTCTGGTTTTAATACACTCTGAAACACGAAAAAGGGTGCTTTGTTTTGTTTGTTCCCCTCACTACAAGAAGGATGCTGAGGTGCTGGAGTGTGTCCAGAGAAGGGCAACGAAGCTGGTGAGGGGTCTGGAGCACAAGTCTTATGAGGAGCGGCTGAGGGAACTGGGGCTGTTCAGTCTGGAGAAGAGGAGGCTGAGGGGAGACCTTATCGCTCTCTACAACTACTGTAAAGGGGGTTGGGGCGACATGGGTGTTGGTCTCTTCTCCCAAGTAACTAGTGATAGGACGAGAGGAAATGGCCTCAAGTTGCGCCAGGGGAGGTTTAGATTGGATATTAGGAAAAATTTCTTCACTGAGAGAGTGGTCAAGCATTGGAACAGGCTGCCCAGGGAGGTGGTGGAGTCACCATCTCTGGAAGTGTTCAAAAAACGTGTGGATGTGGTGCTTCAGGACATGGTCTAGGGGACATGGTGGCGTTGGGTTAATGGTTGGACTTGAGGATCTTGAAGGTCCTT